CGCCCGCTAGGGCAGTCACCTCTCAGGAGCAACACTCCTGTATACAAAGAGATGCATGAGTTTGAGTACACAGTGTGAGGATGTCTCTGCCACAGAATAGCATCTAAAGGTCTCAAGGAACCTCACAAGAAGATTCAGAGTGCAGAGAAGCTGATAGAAGCTGGAGAGAGTCCCTGTCACTGAGCCATGACTACAGCTCCCTTTCATAGGGGAGCAGGAGGCAGGGTTGTGGCTGAGGAGGCAGCTGTTTTAAAGGCACACAGGTATTGTGGTGATATCTGCCAGGCCTTCAGCCTGCTCCGTCTTCCTATGTTCAGGGGCTGTCGGTACAACTGCCTACCTGGGTAAAAGCCAATGAAATCCTTGAAAAAGACTTACTTTGCAGGTGGGAAAGAAAGCTACAGTTCAGCAGTGTCCTTCCAGCATTTCAGGAGGACATCTGGCAAAGTGGAGGGGGAATGTTAAACACAGAGTTCCCCAAACACACAAAGACTTAACAGTTCTGGAGAAACACAGATATTGTTAGAAACAATATGTTAAAATGTTTTATTATTTAGTTACATCTTGCCTGAGCATGAAAAAGATATTAACAGACTGTCAGCTTACTGGGACATAACCCAAAATAACTTACATTTTTCATATATTGCTAATTGTTTTTCTGAGGCTGGCTCAGGCTGGTAAAAGAGATTTCAAGGCTTTCACCAGATGATTTACTTAAAGAATTTAAGCATGCCATTATCTGTTCCCATGGAAACACAGTAAGACAGGGGACAGAAGAGGAGGTCACTTTGACCATAATTAATATAAAGAATAATAGTTTATATAGAATCGAGTAAAGAATATAACAAGATCCTACAATACCTTAAAGCCTTTTCTTCAGCAGTGCAGTTCAATCTTTGTATTGATTTTTAGACACTAGTGTCACTTTTATTAGTCCAGTGCTAATTTTTGAAGTATAACTACCTTGCCTAGCAAAAGTTTTCCAATATTCTTATTTCATTTTTGGTCCAATGATAAAATTCCAGTATTCAGAATTTTTCTAAAGTACTAAGCGGAAATGGATGACTATACTGGCCTTAAGCTTCTTGTGAATGCTACAGCTCCTCGCCACGTTTTCTCAATCAATACATAAATGGGTAGTTTGTTAACATAATTGATGGTAATCCAGAGGAACCACTAGATTCTGCAGTATGCTTAAACTCACCAAAGAAAAGATTTAATCATGTTCAGTCCAGTTTACATGTAAAGTGTCTAATTCTATTCTTCTTTTATTATTGGAAATTGGAAATTGGTAATCCACATGGGGTGTCTCTTAGATATTATATCTATTGGCACTTGGTGCACTCCTTAGGAATTTCTACCAAAAGATTCACACTGTACTTTTTAAAAAATCCTTGTGCTTATTTGGATAGTGGACTTGTGCAGTCTCATAAGGTAAATTTTACCGTGGAAGCTTGATGACATGTTTTTCAAAACTCTTTAGTATAGCATTCCAGAAAGAACTAAGGAGAAAAGAAAGAGAGAAATAAAAGAATTGCACTTTCCAATTTCTGAATTTGTAACACACTGAGAAATTATATTGTCAGAAATTATTAGGATTTTTTTCTGTTAGAGCTCTGGCCCAAGAAACATAGGATAACCTCTTCCAGGCAGCCTTGTCTGAGGAATAGGTTCAGGGCTGCAGTATGACACTGAGTGGTGTTTACAAACAGGTGGCCTAAAGCTAAATGGAGTCAATATAAAATTTCTCACTCTTTTGAAGATAACTACTTGCTGCCACATGAGTAACAAAATTTTTTTTTGTAAAAATCAAGCTTGAAATCACTTAATCAGGAATGTAAATCAGTTATATGCCCCAATTATAAAAATGTTGATGGGGTTTGCTATGGTATTGATTTTTTTTTATTTTGGTGGAAGAATTACAGCTGTTGTGTGTCTTTATATATATATATATATATATATATATATATATATATATATATATATATATATATATATATATATATAATGATATCACATTCCTATTCCAGGAATGCAAACAGTATTATATCCTGCTTGGCAGGCACTCTGGTCACTTGGCTTAGCCAAGAATAAGAACTCTCAGAAGTGCCATTCTATAAGTTTGTAAGAGATCCCCTAAAATAATGGATGGTACACTTCCTATATGTATTTATGTTCAGATAATTTATTTAAATAATGCTGCTGGCACATGCTTTATAGCTGCTTACATTTTGCTACACAGATTTCAGCATATCTTGCAGGCTATGCAATTCATTTGGAAAATGTAATTTCCATCCCTGCATACTAATCGATTTCTTCACAAACACCTGCCATCAGTTATGATAATAAAAATGCCACTCTGAATTGAAAAAGGGCCAAATAGAGCTTCCTAAGGAAATGACTTAAGTGTCTTTGAATGCTACTAAATGTAGTAATGTGCCCGTGTAGTGCCAACACTTTTTTCATCATTTGCATTTTCTGTGATTCTGCCCTATTACAACATCCCTCTCACAAATGATTCCTCATAACCATTTCCTTATGGCTTGGTAAACAGAGCTGTCAGGAGGTGGTATCTCAGGGTGTGGACAGGATCCGTAGTTAGGCTGCATAATGTTAAAAAGTACTGGCTCATGCTGCTGGGTACGTGCTGGATAATTTCTGATTTTATGACTAAGTCCCTAAGAACTGTAAAAGTGCCTGCTACTTGGTTTTGTAGACATATACACCAAATAAAATCTCCTTTATGCATTCTCTTCAGCCTTCAGTTCGTTCCATGCACCACTGCCAAACTAATGTTCCTAAATCCCATTTGCATCATGTCCTTCCACTACCCCAGGCACTGTCAGTGGTTCTCAGTTGGCCGCTCCATTGAACCTAACCTTCCCCGTCTTCTCGCATCGCCTGACAGGGATCACCTTTCTCTCACTGCTTCCAGGCAAACACTTGCCCTTTTGGTCAAGTTTCTCTCCATCTTGCCCCAAGGATTCTACCTTTGATTTTCATCTTCGGGCTTTTGCCTGTGCTCTGGCTCCCGACTGAGAGACAGCCTTCCCAAGTTCTTTGGTTTTTCATATTTCAAAGCCCTCTTTTATTCCTTCAGTCTGAATTTTTCTTTCTCTTCTCTGAACTCCTATAGGATACAGTTTTTTGTCATGTATCTCAACTCATTTATTTATTCATTCAACCAGCATTTATTGAGTGTCTAATGTATTCCAGACATCAAACCATTCTTTCTTCCTTTGAAAGCAATAGTTTCTTTTTAAGTGTGTCAGTTTTTACTAGGTTTTAAGCTCTTTGAGAGAAGAGGTATATACTGTCTCCTCTTTTTGTGGTCTGAGATGCCCGCACAGACCTGAGCACAGGTAAATATGAAGTAAATGCATGTTAAGTAATTGATCCCTACTGGCTTGAGGTAGCGGATTTTCTGGGTAATTGCATGTTCTGTTTGATTAGTAGTTCAGTGTGTACTACACAGAGATTATCATTTTGCAAGATGGAATAGTGTAAAACACTCAACTGTAAAACTATTATTAACATAATTTGACGTTTGATACTTGAGGAGAGAATTCACTGTGGTCTCAGAGCACCTCAGTAAAGCTTTGTCACCATGGAACTGTAATGTGCGCTCAGGAGGCTGACCTTGATTTGGTCCTCCGACACGGGAACAGGGGCTGGAAGCGGGCGTGCACTGGGCCTGCTGTGCAGTGGGCCTGCAGCATGACCTGACGTACTGGAAGTTACATGTGCGAAGTTTCTGGTAACAAGCGTTTCACATTTTCTTTCACTTTCCCTTTGCTTAGCAAAGTGGGGAATGGCTTTTCTGTGAGGGGGAAGATTAAAAGGAGACTGGTGGGAGAGTAGGTGGGGGAATGTGAGACTGGTTTTGAACAGCCTGGTAAGAACTAAACACACATAGACCAACGATAATCAAGAGCAGAGACTCTGGAGCCTGCAGCCTGGGTGTGAAGGCTTTCAGCTACTTACTCTGTGGGATTGAACAAGTTACGTAACTTCTCTGTGCCACATTTTTTTCATCTGTAAGGATGGGGATAAGACCAACAGCATCACAGGCTTGATGGGGGGATGAAGTGAGTGAGTTCATACAAAGCTCTTGGTCCAGTACTTTGTGAGTGCTCAGCAGGCTTTGATGATTCTCAGAGAGACCCCTAAGCAATAAGGTGGAAACTAGGAAAAGGGATTCCCTACCCTCAATTTTTGTTTTGTACCATTGGTTCTTTTTCAGTTTCGGCTATTTCTGAAGCCTTGAGATGCATGAGACCCTGAGTTAACGGCCTTGGTTTCTTAATAAGATGAATATATGAATGAAGTCTGAATCTAAACATGGAGAATTTGGGGTTTCAGGGAGAGGTATTGGAGTAACCACTCAGCCTTGCAGAGGAAAAGAGTTTTAATTTGTTGGTGAAACAGATGGAACTAGGTTCCCATTCCGATAGGAGTTAGAGAAAAACAATCTGTACAATTTGTCCCAGCAGTAGAGCAGGAAGGAATGGTGTGCATATAAATTCCTCCCTCCCCTGGGAAGCTGCCGCATGTCTCAACCTGTAGAACTGCTGATTATTTGAAAGAAAGCAGCCCTCCAAGGAGCTAAGCAATCCTGTAGAAAGGGGGAAGACAATATTTAGCAGATGTGATTGTTGCCTGGAATTCTGAATGTTGTCACCACCTAGCACCACATACCAATTTCTGTGAGAGCATCTAGCATTGAGGGAGAGGTGAAGTGACAAGAATCTGGGAGGAATTAATCCCGCACCCATAAGAAACATTCATACATAAGACGGGACAAACAATAGATAAAAATTCCAAGAGAAGTGATGCATACCGACTACAAAATAGAGAGCACCGGGGTAAGGCATTTTGGCTTTATTCCTGAGCAGGTACAAACATTAAGAATGTGGGTGACAGACTCCCTTTCGCACAGAAGGCCTCCTCAAGCTAAGCAAGAAGGTAACTCACTTGAACTCGTTCTGTTTGTCCTTCAGCCCTGGCCGCTCAGGCCTACGCTCTGAAAGAGGAGAATGACAGTCTCCGCTGGCAGCTGGATGCCTACAGGAATGAGGTGGAGCTGCTGAAACAAGAGAAAGAACAGCTTTTCCGAACAGAAGAAAACCTCACCAAGGACCAGCAACTGCAGTTCCTGCAGCAAACCATGCAAGGCATGCAGCAGGTACCCCACCCAGGTGGTTTTTTGAGATAAAGGGATATGTGTATTAAATGAAAAGGGAAAGGCAGCTGTGTGCTGGAAAGGGTGAGGAAGAAATGACAACCCAAAAGGTACGCTCCTAGGAAAGGACTAATGAGTGTTTGTGGAAGGGTAGAATCTGGAGAAAAGCCAAGCCAATAAAATATATTGAAGAAATCACCCCGGAGGTAGGAAATAAAGGAAAATGATTTGGATTTAGGAGATTGAAAGGCTGTATGTGAAATATAGCCCCATGGCAAACATCTAGCAGATCGCTGCCGATCATGATACAAGTGTTTTGTAATCTTAGAACTTTTAAGTTCATGCATGACAACTGATTTTACAAAAGCAGTTTGTCTGTCTTCAAGGTTAGTATAAATGTAAATTATATTGTTTTCACTTTTCCTATATTACACTTAGGATCTAGTCAGGTGCTACGAGCACATTACATGTTTAAGAAATGTTTGTTGATGGAATAGATGAAGCATCCTAATTTTAGGTAACTTTAGAAACAGGGCAATAGCTGTGTTTTTGTTGAAGAGTGCCAGACTTCATCCTGGCATACTGAATTTAGAAGATGTGTATTTATGGCAAGTGTTGAAAGGAAATGATATTTGAGGGCTTTGGAGTAGAGAAAAGGAGCATGTACTGTTGGAAATAAAATGTTGACAGGAGAGGAAAATCTGACTGTTGGCAATGAGGAAATAGAATCAAAGATTCACAGGTAGATTTGTATCTGAAAACGTCAATTGGTACTTGATATTCTTAAGGTGTTTGGGCCTTTGAGTCACCTTAAAATAATAGAGCATAAATTATCATCTTGGGTATGTTTTAATTACCCCTCTGAATATACAAATCCAATCAATATTATTTTCTGAAAAAAAAAGATTGCTTTTATTTAAAGAAGAGAAATATAAGTAGAATGATGGATGGAAAGTTAGAATATATAGTGAGTCGAATTTTTTTTAATTCCCTAATTCATATTGACTGCTCTGTAACATCCAGAGTATGAATTGCCTGCAGAAGTATCTTAGTGATTAGAGCTAACTACTACAGAAACATCAGCCTAACAGGGAAAAATAATTGAGAGGGAGAGTATAAAAGAGAATCATGGATCAGGAAGTGAGCAAGTTAATGACCAACTCACACAAATTATGTCTTAAACATCTCCTGCCATTTTGAAGCAATTTTTGAGTCTTGGCTTGGAGTCCTAACTGGTTGATGTTCACAGTGTGTGTTAGGCTAATCAGTGAGATTCAGAGGTCAGAGCCAGCCAGGAAAATGTCATTACAGTCATTGCTCAGGTCTCTGTACTTGGAAATCGATGTAACAGCTGCTGTGTGAGGCTTCTGGGGTTGTCCATATGCCCCAACATTGGGTGTTTGTCAGCGCCCTTGCCAAGATGAGAGGCTGTCGATTTCCCCAAAGACCATGGCATCAGACCTAGCCCAAAAGCCACTATGTCACACTTTATACAACTCTCCCTTTTTCCCTCCAGAAACAATTATCCCAATTGCTTTAAAAGTACAGTCTTTTAGGTTATTGCAGATTCAATCTAAATCTAAAAGAAGTCAGAGAATGCAGGGGTAGCTGCTCAGTCACGGCTGCAAAAGCACTGAGGAGCCACGTGACTGATCCACAAAGGAGCAGTGTTTCAAATCACCACCTGAGCCATCCTCCTGAACAAGGGATTCAGTTAATGGAGCTTCTCATATATTTTCAGAATCTCCTTGTCAGTAGGAAACATACTTTATATAGCTAAAAATGTAGTTGAGACAGAAATGTATTGTCTCATAGTTCTGAAGGTTACAAGGCCAAGATCTAGGGTCCAAGAGCAGGGTTGGTTCCTTCTGAGGCTGTGAGGAAGACTCTGACTTCTGCCTGTCTTCCAGCTTCTGGAGGCTGGCTGGTCATCTTTGGCCTTCCTTGACTTGTAGGCATATCACCCTGCTCTCTGCCTGCCTTATCCCTTGCCATTCTCCATGTGTGTGTGTGTGTGTGTGTGTGTGTGTATGTGTCCAAATTTCTTTCTTTCTTTTTTTTTTTTTTTTTGAGACAGAGTTTCGCTCTTGTTACCCAGGCTCGAGGGCAACGGCGTGATCTCGGCTCACCGCAACCTCCGCCTCCTGGGTTCAGGCAATTCTCCTGCCTCAGCCTCCTGAGTAGCTGGGATTACAGGCACACACCACCATGCCCAGCTAATTTTTTGTGTTTTTAGTAGAGACGGGGTTTCACCATGTTGACCAGGATGGTCTCAATCTCTTGACCTCGTGATCCACCCGCCTCAGCCTCCCAAAGTGCTGGGATTACAGGCGTGAGCCACTGTGCCCAGCCCCCAAATTTTTTTTTATAAGAACACAGTTCATATAGGATTAGGGGCCCACTCTGCTCCAGTATGACCTCATCTTAATTACTTATATCTACAAGGACTTATTTCCAGATAAGGTCACATTCTGTGGTAGTAGGGGCTAGGACTTCAACATTTGGATTTGGGGCGGTGGGGGTGGGGTGGTGGGGGGGCATAATTCAATCCATAACAGACACATAGTAGACAGTCAGAATATCTGTGTCAAATGAAGGAATGAATAGACAAAGGCCTGGAGGCAAGGCTAGCATGGTGCCAAGGGAGCTCTGGGCTGCGCGGGAGCCTAGATCATGAAGAGCAAGGTGGGGAGTGGGAGAGCCAAGGCCCGAGAGGTGTGTGCGGTGCCTCCTTAGCCTGCAGAAAGCACTTGGTCCCTGGTGGCTGCTGTGGTTTTCATGTTTACTGGTTGTTAGGCGGATGCATGACTATCTCTGCGGCAGGACATCTTTAACAGAGTTTTAAAATACATGTGCTTTTTAAAGAGTCTTATTTCTATCATGACCTACCATGCGTGAGGAAATTACCACAGTTTGCTTACCACCACAGAGAATTAGCCTGGCTTTAAAACCTTCCTTCGGTGTCCCCACTATCTACTTCATAAATCAGAAAATCATGGTTTCACATGAAAGATGACAGAGAGAGGAGGGTTCAGCCTCCCACACGTCACCATTTCCACAGTCTAAGTTTGTTATTTCTGTAACAAACAACAAAAAAAGAAAGAGCCTTAATGACCTTAGGACTAGCTGATAGCTTTTGGAATTGCCTTCAACCCTTAGCCAAAAAGTTTCTAATCTTTCTTTAATCCCTTAAGGATATGTTCACTGACATCACAGTTTGTCATGTGTTCATGAAGAAAACGTTATGGGCAGGGTTCCTAAAATGGAAAAACCCTTGAGTGACTTTGGATGTTTCCAAGTTTACCCCTGGACCATGTGAATCACAATTTAATAATATTAAAGGCTTCATACAAAAGAGAATAAGAGTTTGTATCCATGGTAACACAGTAGCCTTTACCTGATCATAAGCTGATGGTGAAGTTAACCTGTCTCTGCCGCAGGGATAGTGAGACTTTTGACTTTCATTTGCACCTTTAGGTACACAAGCAAAGAATATACATATTTTAAACTCTTATTTTTCTTCATGTTACCACACTGTTTTATTGAGGTAAAATTTATATACAATGAAACATATTCTTTTTAGGCATACGTTCTATGAAGTTTGACGCATACAGTCACATCACCACCTCTACCACAATCAATATGTAAATCAGTTCCATCACTCATTCCCTTATGCCCCTTTTGAGTCGACCCCACTCTCAGCAACCACTGCTATTTTCTATCCTTATAGTTTTTCTTTTTCTAAAATGTCATATAATTGAACAGTATGCAATCATATGACATTCTAGAACAGTATTGAACAGTATGCAGCCTGTTGAGTTGGGCTTCTTTCCTTTAGCATAATGAGTCTGAGACTGCTCTTGTTGCTGTACATATCAGGTGTTCATTCCGTCTGATGCTGAGTAGTATTCCACCGTAAGAAAGAGCTGCGGTTTGTTTATCCAGTCATAATATTAGTGGATGGATAGTCCCCAGTTTGGGACAAATAGGAATAAATCTGCTGTAAACATTCACTTACAAGCTTTTTGATTAGACATAATTTTTCATTTTACTTGAGCAAATCCTAGGACTATAATTGCTGGGTCATATGCCAAGTGTGTTTAACTTTTGGAGAAACTGCCAAACTCTTTTCCCCAGCGTCTGTACCATCATGCATTCCCTCGGGACTGTATGCAAACTCCAGTTCTGCATCCTCATCAGTCGGCACTGACAGGGTCAGTTTGTTTTATCTTTTTTCACCACCATTGTAAATTTACAGTGATATCTCATTATGATTTTATTCACACCTAAATTTGCAGTATTTTATTTTCATTCATGAGAATAGGTCAGTATGTAATATTTTTGAATAATCCACTTAAAATCAGAATTGTTTTTGATGACTTGTATAATCATATTGACAAGGCTAATAAATATTTGGATAACAGGATATCATTAAAAACTGCTGATCATAAAAGTGTGTATGACTAATGATGATTATGTCAGAAGGCTCCTTCCTAAATACTTTAAGTTGATGCTTTTGAATAGTGTTAAATCTAATCTGAGGACCAGCTGTCTTAGGCCAGCAAGCCATTGGCCCATGTGCAGCAATGGCTCTCTCACACTCTTAGCTTGGCATTAGTAAGGTGCAGGCCTGGTCTGCTGTCTTGACAACTTTCAACAAGGGAAGATCAGGGGAAAAAAATGGGAAAAGTAGGATTATTATGATCAAAAGCATTTTAGAAGTTAAGTGACAAGTATTTTTTTTCTTTATACTCAAAGTAGAATGTACGTGTGATTTTCTGTGTGTATATTGTAAAAATCTCACCCATTCAGACTAATTTTATGGAAGATGAAGAAATATAACATTACTACTTCCCTGAAATACAAAGTAGCCCCAGTTAGTTTTGCCAGAGGTTGAGTAAGAGTCAGACTTTGGAATATCTATTAAGGAATAAATGAAAGTATTTTTGAAATTAAACATAGCGATTACATCTGACGCCTTGAGTAAGTTCAGCATGTCTTCT